TAGGCCGACTCTATTACAATGTTTTACCTCATATTTTCCTCGATCGTCTTTCTTTTGGATACTAATTTTGACACAGATTTTGCTATGGGAATAGGTAAGAATTACTTGAGCAGGTCTTGCAGGAAATCTGGATCATTACTCCATGAAACCAAACAACTTGAGGTCCGAAATCTGTGTGGCAATCAGGGTTGTGGAATTCATACACGAAAGTTTTGCACTACATGTTATATGTATTATTGTGGTACATGCTTCAAGACGGCTATGGAAGGAAAATAAGAAACTAAAAATTAAAAAAACATAAGGAAATATTTGAAAAATACAAAAAATACAAAAAAATACAAAAAACATACAAAAAATACAAAAAAATACAAAAAACATACAAAAAATACAAAAAAATACAAAAAAATATGATTATCGAAAACGTTCACCTCCTCGTGGTGAGAATCGGGCAACTCTAGTGATTACTGATAAATCAGAGGCAAAGAACGCGCGATCGCCATCGTAAGGCCATTCATCGTCTTAGAAGCACGATTGCGAATATTCGATTTCTGATACTTTGGGAATTTTTCACTCGAGAATGGCGACTCTGAGCGAGAAAATGAACTGAAGTTATTTGATCTCAAATTTTACGTAGAATACGATGGTATTTTTTATTTTCCGTAAATAGCTATTTTTCAGGTTACGGCCTGCCATATTGGATCCGCCATTTTAAATTTTGATAAGCTAATAATGAATTTAGATCTAATGATTCAGAGAGTTTACTAAACAATCAAAAAAAGAGGATTGGAGACTATACAGTGGCTATAAAAACGTGTAAATACGTAATTTCAGCTGACTCTTGGTGGCCGCCATCTTGAAAATCAATTGCGTGAGCTAATTTTGCTAATGTGCATCCAATCTTTTGACATAAAACTCAGAAAAGTCACTTTGCCTGCTAAAACTTAGATTAGACTTCAAAAGTGCAAATTTTGGTAATTTTGCATTAATTTCGGGCATTCGAGCGCCATTTTGGATCGATTAACATTCAAAATTGAAGTATCTAAAGATATATTTTTGAAGTACAAGCTTCGGGTCCCGTATCCTGATGGGTTAGGATATATTGGAGTACCGAGAACATAGTTGAAAAAATTCCTCAAAAGAAAAAAATTTTGAAAATTTGCATTTTTTTTTTGTTTATTGTTAAAAATAAACTGTTTGCGTTCATTTTTCAATAAATTTAAATATGCCATTCAAAAAATGAGATTTTTTTACACAAGTATATCTATCTCAATATTTTTTTCACATGGGTTATAATTGAAAGGCACGAGCTTGAAGTTGACGTTGAAATTTTGGCCATTTGAGCGTTAAAGGGTTGACAGCAAAGAGTTGGACGAGCAGCAACCGATCCGGTAGCAAGGTAGAATCGTCGCAGCATCACCCAGGAGAAGAAGATGTTTACTAACGTCAATTACGGCTGATCACCGTGAATGCACCGAAGGGTAGGTACACCAACTTTTTTCCGCGTGCTGGTATCATTCCTCACTTAAATTCACAAGCGATCGTTATCACATTTGCGCTGAACGTTATAGTCCCCAATAGAATTCCGAATTCTCTCTCTCTCCCTCTCCCCGGATAAATGTAAATCTTATACGTGTGCGCAAGTTTGTCAGTTCACAAAAGACTGTAACTTTTATTTTTTATTAAAGGCTTGATTTTCATTCACCGCATTACGTTCTTTCGTTTCCCTTTAATTCAACGGATCCGTCAGCTGATATTATTTAAACCGATTTTATCTTGGGAATACATAGTGGAAATAAACATTAGTTCAAGTACACCTAATATAAAGCAAATGTCCCAAGTCAGGTGACTTAAGGTGAGTTTAACTCTATTGTAAAGGAAACATTGAAGCGAAAGTATCAATCGTAAAGGCGAATACACGTATATTCTTACGTGATTAACGGAGCGGCGTTAGCTCTGCATCGTGGGAGATTGTCCTTCGACAAACCTTAATTGCATCAGTTAATGCACCCCGTTAATAAATAAATTATGAATTCTTTATTTATTGATAACAATAATAATTAAGTTATTAATAATGAAACCAATTATTACTCATGTTTCTAAGATAGTGATCTTGAGCTCACAGTATCCGCTTTATTAGAATAATTAATATTTACAAAGTTATAAATAAATTAAGTTTTCACATTACAATTCAATACTATTTGTAATATTTATATTTGTAGATTTTAAGATGTAACGTAAATATTATGATGAACTTAAATTAAAAAGGCAGTGTAAACATCGCATTTAAATGTCCGTACAGTATAAATGAAAAGGCTAACGACTAAGAGCTCATGAACAAGATCAAGAAAATAACAAATTAATTCGATTAAAATTAACAATTATCAATTTTATTAGATATGTTTATATTTTTCGTGATCACGCTTACAAAATTTGCATTACTTCGATACAATAAATGATTTTATATTAAACGGTAATCGTAATTATTACACTTTCGTCAAAGGCCATCTCGGTTTCGCTAAACTCTTTCTATTTTCCGATTGTTCTTATTAGAAAAAGTACGTCTTACATGATTTTCGAGTATCATGGTGCAATAATCCTCCGTTTGCACACCAATCCTCCAAAATTTCAAATTAAATGGATGAGCTCCTCCTTATTTTTCCTTAAAATCTCCAGTGGACTCGTAGATTCAAGGTCGTTGTCAGTAGTTTGGTAATTTGGAGATATGTGCGTACGCGTGTGTATGCGTGAACCAGCCGGTAGATCTCTCTATGATTCTTGCTCGAAGATAATCTTGAGCTACAGTTGATACACACACCACGTCCTTCTCGAAGACAGAGAGTCTCAGTTACTTCTGATCCAGCGCGCGGTTGTCGTCGCTTTTATATCCTTGCGGAGCGGATTAAGGGGCGTTCATAAGCAATTTTAGGAGGAAATTTGGTGCGCAAGATGACCATCAATAGGCAAGAGACCGCTTAATATCGAACAAATGAGACATAAAATCTCATTGTTATATATTCAATAGTTAAAAGTACTTGAAAATATAATAATCTTAATCTATACCCTAAAATCTATATAAAAAATAGTTTGTCTCATTGAAATTACTCTTAACGCATTTTAATTGATCAATAAAACTTATCATACCTATATCTACGAGGGTGGTCTGATAAGTACTTCGCCTCACCGCCCGATGGCGCCACTCTCGCAAAAGAAATATTCTATCACGTTGTACAAACTTCTCGATGGTTACTGTCAAGATTTCAGCCGGATCGGAGTTGTAGTTTATTTTTGAGAGCGTGTGAAAGCAAGTGTGTCCGTTGATTTTTGAAAAATGGAAAAAGAGCAGTATCGGTCGGTGATTCGATTCTTGTTTTTGGAAGGAAAATCGCGCAGCGAAATCAAAAAGTGCTTGGATGCTGTGTACAATGACACTTCTCCTTTGATGGCGACCGTCAAAAATTGGTTTAACGAGTTTCAACGTGGTTGCACGTCGATTTTTGAAGAGCCACGTCCAGGTGCTCCGATTACGGCTACCACGGAGGATAATGTGACAAAAATTCACGATCTCGTATTGGCAGATCGATGATTGAAGGTGCGCGAGATAGCTAAGATCGTAAGCATCTCAAAATACCGTGTGGGTCATGTCCTGCATGAAATTTCGGGCATGAGAAAGTTATCGGCGCGATGGGTGCCGCGTTTGCTCACTTCGGACAACAAGCGCAACCGTGAGACAATTTCAAAGCAATGTCTGACGCTGTTTGAGCGCAATCCGAAGGAGTTTCTGCGTCGTTTCGTGACAGTCGACGAAACATGGATCCACTGGTATATACCAGAGACCAAAGAACAGTCGAAACAGTGGACTTTACCCGGCGAAAGTGCTCCGAAGAAGGCGAAGACTGCCCCATCGGCCTGAAAGGTGATGGCCACCGTTTTCTGGGATTCACAAGGTGTGATCTACATCGACTACCTGGAGAGGGGCAAAACGGTCACAGGGCTGTACTATGCCGAATTATTGGGCCGATTCGACGTCGAATTGCAGAAAAAACGACCCCATTTGGCGAAGAAAAAAGTTCTCTTCCACCATGACAACGCACCGGCTCACACCTCCGCCGTCGCCATGGCGAAATTGGTCGAATTAGCCTACGAACTGCTGTCCCATCCACCATATTCTCCAGGTTTAGCCCCGTGCGACTTCTTTTTGTTTCCAAACTTGAAAAAGTCACTCGCCGGGCAGAAATTTGAGTCGAATGAGGAGGTAATCGCTGCCACGGAAACTGCCACTTTTCAGACCTCGAGGAAACGTATTTTTCAGACGGGTTAAAGAAGTTAGAGCATCGCTGGGCCAAGTGTATCGAACTAAAAGGAGACTATGTTGAAAAATAAAACGCCACTTCCAACATTTTCGTTTTTCTTTTATGGGCTAAGTACTTATCGGACCACCCTCGTATAAGTAGAGTGACGTCACGCTCCTTATATGGTCATGAAATTTGACTCTTGCTCTATTACAATTATATAATACGAGAGGTAGCGCCGTTTAATATAGCAATTAATACGAGGGTCGCTTGAAAAGTCCGTGCAAAAATAAAAACTGCTTGATTTTTTTTAATAAATCTTTATACTTCAGATCAGATGACAGAAAATTTTAGTCTTTAGGATAAACTATTTGTAATTATTGTATCGTATCTCAAACAAAAACACCTTCTAAATTACATCAATCGAAATAATTTTTTTTTAAATTAAGAAATGTAAATTGAATCTTTTATTGTCATAAAGACAAATATCAGAAATATACATAGAAGCGAAAAAAAAACGCGGTAAAACTATTGAAGGTACGCGGAATAGCCATATTATATAGTGCCGGATACTGCCGTAGCCTTGTTGTCACTTATAGTTAGTGGCTACTTGTTAACGGGTGACTATCCCAACACTTAATGAATGTTCAGCATGTCTATACAATTTTTCACACACCAAGATTAACTAATATTTTAATATAATTTTTTCAGTCAACTGGATAGATCCTAGTAAGACTCTAAGAGAACAAGGTATTGATGAAACAGAGACAGTACTGTTAAGAAGAAAGTTTTTCTTTTCTGATCAAAATATCGATAGTAGAGATCCTGTTCAATTATCACTTTTATATGTACAAGCACGAGATGCTATCTTAGATGGTACACATCCCATAACCCAAGAACAAGCTAATATTTTTGCTGGTATTCAATGTCAAATCCAATTTGGTGACTATAAAGAAGAGAAACATAAGTCCGGATTCTTAGAGTAAGTTATCAAGTTCTGATTTCTTCATTCTGATTCAATTATTATATTTTAATGTTATAATAATTATTGTGCTTTTACCATATATGTTATAATAATATTTTTGATGTAATTCTACTTTTAAGTATACCATACTATATTATGGCATTTTCATAAAAATTTTCATAAAAATTACTTTTTAGGGGGCATAAAAAAGTTAATAATCGTATTAATAGTTTGATTATGCACGGGGAGTCATTTTAATCTATGGACTCCCATATCTCAAATTCTACGCATAGTACAGACAAAAGGTGCTCAATACCAAGGGGGCCATATTTTGGTGACCTTAAATTTGACCTTGAACATGTTGGGTCAAGGTCATTTCATAGTCAATGTTTTTTTTAATAGGAATCCTTACTTTTTATCTCAGATTCGGATTCTGCGTTAAATTGTACGTTCAAATCATATAATATGTGTGTGGAGACCCCCCCCCCCCCTCCAGTCGTTTCGCGGTCAACCTTACTTTTTAAATGAAATCTCTCATTTTTCGTCGCAGATTTGAATTCTACATGAAAGTGTACGTTCAGATGATGGGATATTTATGATGGGATATTTATTTATGATATTTATATTTAATAATTTCCCGCTTTTTCCAAATCCGGTGTGAGAAATAGGGATTTCCATAAAAAAAGTAAGATTAACCTTAAAATGACTTTGGGGGAGAGGGATCATTCGGACCCTATAAATATTCCATCATCTGAACCTACCATTTCCCGTAGAATTCAAACCTGCGACGAAAAATGATGGGTCCCATTTAAAAAGGGTTGACCTCGAAATGACTTTGGAGGTGGGGTGGGGGTCATTTGGACCTCACACATATTACATGATTTGAACGTAGAATTTAATGTAGAATCCAAATCCGGGATAAAAAATAAGGGTTCCTATTTTAAAAAACATTGACCTTGGGTTGATCTTGACCCTTCATGTTCAAGGTCAAATTTAAGGTCACCAAAATATGGCACCCTTGGTATTGAGCAACTTTTGTTTGAACTATTTTTATGTACTTGCATAGGTCGATACATTTTATTAAACGGCGTTCCAGTTTTTTAAGCCATCAGAAAAATATTATATCTGAAAACCCTCAAAATAGGCATTTGTTTCGGCGATAACTTCTTCATTCGACGTGAATCGTTGTCCGGCAAGCCATTTTTTGAGGTTAGGAAATAAGAAAAAGTAACTTGGAGCCAAATCAGGCGAATATCGTGTATGGTCAATTAAGTCGAACTTTAAATCGTTAATTTTTGTCTGAACTCGAGCATTGTCTTGTTGAAAGAGGCATTTTTTTTGTTCAAGTGAGAACGTTTTTTTCTGATTTTTTCTTTCAGCTAACCTGCTGTTGTAAGAATGATGTTTAATTGAATCGAAATTCGCTTATGTGCTTGGTTCCTACTTTTTTTTCTTTTTCACAGCGCTGAAACCGCACGCACTTATTGCTATTTTTCTCAAATGTTAATACGAAGAAATATTTCTTTTTTTAAGGTGATGAGAGCACCAACCTCGCTCTCATCTGTGAAGCACTCCATTTATCATTGTTTCTCCAATTATTTATTTACGAGCTTACAAAACTACTGTACAGAGAATTTAAATATGTGTCTTTCGATCTAATCAATAAAGAACTTGTAGTGCTGCATCTCGTCGAACTGTTGATCGTAGAAATTGTTATTCTCTACCAATGCTCTGGAAACACGGTTTGGGAGAAAGACTTGAAACTCTCCTTTGAGCTTTGCCATAACCTTAATTCCAAATCGGGTAGCGATCTGTCTCAGCATGGTTACGATGTAGAAAGTACCATTCTCCAAGTCACTAAAGTCTTTCTTGGGGTGGAACGGACCCATAGCAATTTTATTCAGGCTTTCGAAATCCATTCTATAATGAGAGAAATTTATTAAAGCTCTGTTTATTACTCCGAAAGCGTTCTCGTAGTCAACGATGCCTTTACTCTGATTCAGAGTTAGGATTCACTTCTTGAATCTCTTGCTTGCAGGTTCTTTGCTATGCTGCTGCTGCTGGAATTCGTCCTCACTGCTGGGATTGGAGCTAATGATGCTCTGGCCAGCCGCCTCGATTTTTAGCCAACCTCCACTCCTAAACATCGAGCTGTCGATTTTGTTTCTCCCTTTCCATCTTTCTCTTCTATCTTATCTCAAAAGTGGGCGAGAACTTTTGCTTTGAGCTCAGAGCTGACAGACGACTCTGATAGTGCCCCCAGGGAAACGTATCTGGAGAACCGAGCATTACGCAACACTTATCATCGTACGGACTCAGCGCTACCTTTTTTTCCTGCTCCGTTCGAACCCGATGGAGTTTACTTCGGATAGTGAATTGCTCTCTTTTGATTATTTCTTTCTCCTTCGAACAGCGTGGGTAATTCTCGATGTTAATGCTGTTCTTTACGGTGTGCGACTTGATCCCCTTAGCTTTCTTAATGGAATTCTGACCTTCTATGCTGACAGCATACATATTGCTGCAGAGGCCGATAAATTTGAGCATAAGTTTACCGGCACACTCATCCTTCATTAGCACAAGAACTTTCTTATTAACCAATAGAAGACCATATAGATATTCTTTGGAATAATCTGACGTGTCGAACTTATCGAGGTTATGTTTCATCACCTCGTACACGTCTATTTCCTTCAATTTGTAAATGAGACTGTAGGTATCGGTATAAAGTAATTTACATTTATCGACGAACGTCTCTTTCATGAAGCTGTAATGGAATTCATAGACTAGATATTGAACAAGTCCAACACGCAGACTCCGACGTATATAGATTTACTGATGTAGATGTCTGTCCATGACAACTGAATCACCATAGAAGTTGAGTGTCTCCTGCTGCTGAATCCGCTGAATGTACCGATAGGGTAGAAATTATCACCCAACCTAGAGATAGTTCACTCGTAGTCCATCAGGTAATTGATCCCCTCGTTCTTGTTATAGTCCTTACCCATATACGGGTTGTTAGCTTTGGCATATCTGTTGGAACACTGGCTAACTCCTCTCCAAATTCCGTATTCGATAAACATCACCATGTTGATGTCTATTTTCAATTCCAATTGGATGTTGATACACATGACCATGGCGTCCCAAGTTAGTCCAGATATCGTGTAATAGTTTGCAGGATCGAGGTTGTAAGTCTCGAGACAGATCCTGCGGAAACTCTCAAAAACGTCTGCGAGAAGTAGCACGTACGTCTTGAGATACAGATCAGAATACTGTTCGAGATTCTTACTATTGAACGACTGCCATACGTTCTACGCATGCGCATAGTCCACATCGCTCACATCTCCGTTGGTGAGTCGACTGTGAAAAGCTTCCTTCACTGGTAGGTGTTTCTGTTCCTGCTTGTCGAGACTGATTACAAAGTCGTAGGGAAACACACCTTTTTTGCGCAGTAGTTGAATTTGCTCAAGAGAGTAGTCATCTTTCTCGAACTCTCGTTGAGCGATATCCAATTTATCCAAGTAGGATGATAACTTGTCTAACGATGATGGCATGAATCGATAAAATGGAAGTGTACTCGTATGTCCATACCATCAATGTACTCGTACTTGGAGTAGGAGATGTACTTTTCCTTATTTTCTGCGCGAGAAATATAACTCGACCCTTAAAATTATGTTTAGTCGCGACCTCTTTGATAACGAAGTGCAAGTCGTATCCGGTGGGATTGTGAAATACGAGGTCTGTTCGGAAAGTATCGGGCCTATGTTTATATCTTCGCGCCATAGTGTTCGAGCGACCTCTACCGGACAGAAATGTCAACAGTAAAGCCTCATGAATCTATTCGTTACTTACTGACACCTGCCGGACGTATAGTTCATGTGCAGCATGTCATTGTTTACAGTGCCTTTTTCTCGTTCGTCGGATTTTGATATTGTAAAAATGACTAAAAAACAAGATCAATGAATTTGCATCAAATTTTGCTTTCAACTCGGAAAAACGAGTTCGGAAACTATTGAAATGATGCAAAAGGCCTTCGGAAGCGAGTGTATGAGCAAAACACGAATAAAAGAGTAGTATAAACGGTTCAAGGATGGTCGCACTTCTGTCGATAGTGATTCTCGTTCCGGCCGACCTTCGACGACAATAACCGCAGATAATATTGAGCGGGTGTGACTTGCAATCGAACAAGATCGTCGTATGACTGTGCGAGAACTAGAAAAAGACATTGGAATACCAAAAACTCATCAAAATTCATTTCAGAAATTTTAACCGAAAATTTAGGAATGAAACACGTGTGTGCGAAATTCATCCCAAAATTGCTCACAGCAGAGCAGAAGAACATTCGCTTAGAAATCGCTCTGGACAATCTGGAAATGGTCAATAATGATGATAATGTGCTTAGAAAAGTTATTACAGGTGATGAATCATGGGTTTATGGTTATGATACTGAAACAAAACAACAATCTTCACAGTGGATGCATTCTGAATCGCCAAGACCAAAAAAAGCACGTCAAAGTCGGAGCAATATTAAGTCAATGTTGTTTGTTTTTTTCGATTGTGAAGGTATTGTACATCACGAATATGCACCAACAGGTCAGACAATCAATAAAGAATACTACGTTCAAATTCTGAAACGTTTGCGTGATGCAGTAAGAATGAAACGGCCGCACTTTTGGGAAAGTGGTGACTGGCTTCTCCATCACGATAATGCGCCAGTGCATTCATCCAATCTTGTGCAGCAGTTTTTGAGCAAACACAATATCGCATTGCTTCGACAACCTCCATACAGTCCCGACATAGCCCCTTGTGACTTTTGGCTGTTTCCAAAACTAAAATAACCACTGAAAGGACACCGATTCGATGATAAAACAACGGTTGAAAACAATGTGACGAGTGTACTTGAGGCTATCCCTAAAAGTGAGTTCCAGGATTGTTTTGAAAAGTGGAAACATCGATCGAACCGTGTTATTCAATCAAGTGGGGATTACTTTGAAGGATGCCACCCACCAGATGATAAAGAATAA